TAGAACTGTGTTGGTCTTTAATTATCTTAAAGAGAAATGTCTGGGCTGAATAGAAATGCCCTGTGTTTGTTTGTGCCTTTTTGTAGTTATTTGGCTAACAGGATTTGCTTGGTCTTTCTTCTCTAGTACTGCGAATATATGCCTGATGTGACTAAATGCAGACAATGGCTAGAAAAGAATTTTCCAGATGAGTTTGCAAAACTTACAGTAGGTAAGAGTCTTTCTCTCTTTTCTGAATGAGAAGATATGTGTTCTTAGATTTATTCATAAATTTTTGTCCTTTTCTACTTCTCAGGTATTCCCTCTTGCAGCTGTTTTAATTCTGAAAGTTAAATCATTTTTTACAGCAACCAAAGCATGCTAGACTCTTAAAAGACTAAGTTTCATGTTGTCAGAAAACACTGGACAAATAATATGTGATTGCAGAAAAAATGCTTCCTCTTTCTTAAGAGGTAGAGACATTTCCTACTGCAGCCAGTCATTCATGCACTTAATTGCATTAGTTGATGCGAAACAGTTTATCCAAACTTCTATGTCTATTGTGAATTGCTGAAGAAAAGGTCATTGATGATGATGTATGTTGATTTGCATATGAATTTGCATATGGTATTAAGTGGAATTAAATGAAATCTGACCGTTTGTATAAATTATGTGAAGAATCTTTTCTGAAATCATAACCATATGCTTGAGCAAAGGCATTTCTGAATGTCAGAAGTTTAACTTGGACCAACTGCTGTGTTACTTTGTACCTGTAACAGCTATTAGACAAGCTACACTTACTGAAATAGGAAGTACTGTATTTTGCTCTATTTTAGCTTTGCTAAATTGCTAAGTTGTTTGTGTTAAGAGTGTGGCAGTTTGACCACTAATTTCTTTCCTTTCCTCTCCCTATTCTTTCTCTATTTCAGAAAATTCACCTAAACAGGAAGCTGGGGTTGGAGAAGGCCAAGGAACTGCAGGAGAAGAAGAGGAGAAGAAGAAACAAAAGAGAGGCAAGGTCTACATAGTTGATTAGTGGCATTGATTTATGAGCCGTTTGGGGCATCTTTTTCTAAACAGCCACCTGGACTGTGGCACAGTTTCCTTCGCCTTGATGAACTTTAAACTACCTAAGATGACTTTGCATGAAAGAAAATGAATATAGAAATGTTTCTTCCAATTAGTAGCAGAGTTTGTACAGTGACAGGACAATTAAATATGCCGATTAAAAAAAAAAAAAAAAGAAAGAAAGAAAAAAAAAAGGTAATAGTAAGTGAAAGATGACCTGATCTGTGTATCTGTCTGATCTTGTCACTGCTCAGGAAGCAATTATTCATTTTTCTGAACCTGAAGTCAGCAGCATGCCTCCCCAAATACTGTTTTGTCCTGTTTAAGTGTTATGATACAAGATTAATTATAAGGGGAGGTGTGAGAAAAGCGGGCATATCTGAAGAAATTTACTGAAGAAATGCTAAGGCATAAATTTACTGTCTTAAATTACCAGATACGATTTTTTAGTAATGTGGAACTGAGTGCTGCATGTTAGAAAGCTGGTAGATTTAGTAAGAAGGGTTTTGTTTGTTTCTCATGGACTTGAAGATTTTCATAGTGAGAAGGCTCTAGAACAAAAAGCTTTGGTTACCCTGGAGTAACTTGTTGAGCGTATGCAGTTAGCCAAGATCTTACTCTGACTCAAAGAATCCTAGTGAGCTATATACACATCTGTATGTCTTACACATGCCAGGCATTTACTAGTCCGAGTAATGTTCTCTCAGGTTGACCTAGAAACAAATAGTAAATAAGAGGGTACTATCAGAAGATACTGAAGGAGGGCAGTCAGCATCCGTAACAGGCCTCCATTTTAGAGGCACGGTGTTTTTCTGCTAACACACATTTGTGTTTAGTGCTAGGATGTATGCAGATACCTAGTGCTTAGTCTGCTGTTTAACTCAGCAGCTTGAGTAAGCAATTCCTTCTGGCATCAATAAATGTCCATGAGCAGTTTGTCTGAGGTACGAACCCTCACAACACGTAGCTTGTGAAAAACATAAAAGTAGCCGTTTGGTCTTGACTAGAGAGCAGGTCCTGAAAGGGGTTAAGTGTTAATCAAATGCAGTGGTCAGTAATTAAAGCATGGGAAAGTCCCCTTTTCATAGCTGTAACAGACTCCTGCTGCAAATGCTATATTTTAATGCAAATTTGATATGCATTTATTGCTATTTCTTGTAATTTTGTGCTTTGATGCCATGGGACCTTTCTAAAATAATCTGAGTTGGAGATGCTTAATGTGTAAAATATGTATTTGTGTACAGAGAGAGAAGTTCCTTTGTTTATAGTGATGAAATTTGATGTTTTAGACTTTTTCCTTCAAGTGTGACATTTAACCAATCATCTACTCTATTTTAAAGGTGGAAGAGGTCAGATAAAACAGAAAAAGAAGACTGTACCACAGAAAGTCACAATAGCAAAAATTCCTAGAGCAAAGAAAAAATATGTCACAAGAGTATGTGGCCTGGCAACATTTGGTGAGTTGACTTTTGTGAAGTGTTTGTTGTAGGTTTTAGATGTGCTTGCCCTTAGCCTCACCATATCAACCGGAGCCTTAGCTTGTTTAATGTTAAGAAACTCAAGTCTGAAGTTTGGTTTAAATTAGCCCTGCCTTTTTTTTTTCTGGTCATTGTGTATAGCACAAACCTTCAGGATATATTTAAGAAGTTTGCCATGTTTCTAGAGTGAATTGTTCTGTATAACAGGCTTTATTTCTACTTGAATTGGACATTGTAATATGGCCTTAACTATAATCTGCCACTAGTCCCTTAATAGTGAAAACAAGATTTAAATTCTGACTTTAAATTTGAAAAGATCTGTGTATGACAATGACCATATTTAACATAGTAACTTTCCTGTCAACAGAAATTGATCTTAAGGAAGCACAAAGGTTCTTTGCTCAGAAATTTTCCTGCGGTGCCTCAGTAACAGGAGAAGATGAAATCATTATTCAGGGGGATTTTACAGATGATATTATCGAGGTAATCCAGGAGAAGTGGCCTGAGGTAATAAACTGTTTATGTGAAGTTTCTAGTTTACCATGAAAGCCTGTTTTTTTCCAGTGATTTTGACAAGTGTTTTGATATTTCACAGCACGCTTTGTGCAAAAATTAAAGAGCAGTAGTTTAACCCCTGCCTGTGTATGATTAAGCTAAGAAGTGATTCATCTTGAAGTCAAATATTGTTTTCGTTGTCCAAGGAACATTAACTAGGTAATCATGTAGTGCCTGGTGCTTTGGATCCTGCAGGGGGAAAGGTGTGTCGAGTGTCTGTGGATTTTTCCTGAATGTTTCTTTGCAGTGAATACCTAAGGAATGTTTAGTGTCATTTTGTTTCAAGATCTCTTTTAAAATACTTCGAAAGCCAGTGTGCCTGAAGGCACATGTCACTTGCATAGAATTTTTAAAGGGAATCTTGGATGGGGCTGTACACTTCTCTTCCCTGCATTCCACTTCCTTTTTTTTTTTTCAGGTTGATGATGATAGCATTGAAGATCTTGGAGAAGTCAAGAAGTGATCATGAAAGACTACGTTAATTTAACTATGGTTATAAACGATGTAGCCAAAGCGAGGCTTCTAAATCCATTTAACCCTCAGTGAAACTGTGGAGAACCCATCTTCTTGGCATTTTCACCATTCTGTATAGGCTGCTTGTTTTTTTTTTCTTGTTTCTTTTTTTTTTGTGATATTTGCCAAAGTTAAATTGGGTTTTTATCATGCTTATGCATGAAGTAGATTTAAATAAAATCACTGTTCCTCACTGAGTACAGTTTCTGCTTTCTATAGAGCCACTTTAACAGTCTTAAAGGAAAATAATAAGTGGAGTAATTAAATTATCTGTGGGTCTGCCATTTAAAGTGCCGAACAGGTTGATTATCGTTAATTATTATTAATCAGCCGGGCAGATTGTCTTGCTGGGCTTCTGGGGCGGCTCGAACGGGCAGAGCGGGGACGCGAACCCGCGGACCATTGGGAGGGAGGGGCGGGGCCTCCCGTAACGGCCGCCCGGGGGCGGGGCCTCCTTCACGGACCGGGGCGGGGCCCGCGCGGCGGCCGCGCGGG